GCAAAAAAATTAAGGATGTATGAAAAATCCCTATGAAAACCCATGACTCTGTAAGGAAAAACAGAACAAAACAAAACAAATCCATAGACGCCGGGTATCATGGTGCATGCTTTTAACCCTTCAACTTGGGAGCTAGAGGCAGGCAGATATTTGTGAGTTCAAGGCCAGCTTGGTCTACATAGCAAGTTCCAGACCAGCCAGGGCTACAAAGTAAGACCCTGTCCCCCACCTCCCAAAAAAGGGGGAGTTTGAACACAGAGACCCTTCTAGGTGAACCCTAGAAGACATGGGTTATTATATGAAAATCTCAGTACCTATGAGGGATACTTCCCTGCATTACTGCCTGGGGAGGTCCCAGAGACCCCTAAAACAATACAGGATATTACCACTGTTCTTGGTTGCCCACCAGAACCAAAATCTAGAGGGTAGACTCTATTGCTAAAGATACAACACTCAGGTTGTAGGACATACAAACCAAGCTGGAACTGTCCTGAAGACTTTCTCCTTGATGACTGACTACTCACGTCCATAGTGCTGGAAGGGGCTATGCAGGATGCTGAGCAAGAAAAGGCATGAATGATACCCCTGCAGCCAACCTCACAAGGTACAATACTGACCTTCCAGGCAAGATGTGCTCGTTGGTGCAATTATGGTATGAAGGTTATGGGGGTAACCAACTGCTTTGGGGTTGGATTTGAGACCTGCTTCTCGGAAGGAATTCAGGCCTGGAAGCATCAAACTGGTCAAAGGTCCAAGACTCCGCAGGTCATAGGCTCTACAGGAGAATCTACTACTGTGGTTTTGTGAAATGACATGTTGTCCAGCTGCCTTCTAAATATTTATCCCCAAAGATAGTGCTGCCCTCAACCTTGGCCAGGGAAGCTCCTCTCTGAGGTGGTCAGGGGTTAATAACTGGTCAAAATGCTGAGAGTAAGTATCTAGTGAGGACTGGGACCTAAATGGAGCATGTATATCAACCAGCATCCACCCCTCCCACGAAGGCTCAGGGAACACTGGAGAAAACAGGCAAAAAGAAATAAGAACTGGAAGATGGGGAGCAGTGCTATGAAATGCTGTTTTCTGGACATGACATGGCTACCGAACCCAGTAACTCACTGGTGCTATGGTGATCTCAACACGATCAGGTCAACAAGATCGGTCCATACCCCAACAGGCAGCAGTAACTGGACTAGGTGGGTTATAAACAAAATAGGAGAGGGCATGAAGGTAGACAGGGATGTGTTGGGGGTTCCTAGGAGGAATGAAAGGGGAGAGCTAAGGGTGTATATGATCAAGATGCATGGCTTACATGTATAAAATTGTCAAAAAATAAGATATTCTTTTATTTTTATCTTTTTGTAATTTACTTTTATTTTAAATGCACTGGTGTTTTGCCTGCATGTGTTTGTGTGAGGGTGTCAGATACCATTACTGGAGTTAAACAGTGGTCACCTGCCATGTGGGAGCTGGGAATTGAACCTGGGTCCTCTGGAAGAGCAGCTAGTGCTCTTAACCACTGAGCATCTCTCCAGCCCTATTTTTTTTAGATAGACAGTCACTTAAGGAAGACATGCTAATATCCCATGCACATTTGTGAGTGAGCATCCACACACACATAAACACACACATACTGTTACACAAATAATAAATAAAAGGGAGAAAACTTTATGCTCATGAGAGGAAAACTCAAACCTATTAAAATGTCAGTTCTTCCCAGCTTGATCTCTAATTAGTTCAATCTCACTCAAAATCCCAGCAAGTCACTTTGTAGCTTGAGAAGATTCCAATGTTTGCATAAAAAAACAAAAGGCCCACAGTAGCCAGCCTAACTACTAATGGAAAAGAACACAGCTAGAGGTCTGATGCTGGCTGATGCCAAGGCTCACTCCAAAGCTACAGAGACCAACATGGTGGTACTAATAAAAGAACAAATACACCAATGGCAGGAACAAGGAGCCCAGAAGTAGACTTTCACAGTCAAACGTTCTCTGAAAAGGAGCAAAAAACAAAGACAGATACTGCACTTTTCTCCCATATGTGCAACCTAAATTTAAAATTATTCATATGTGTTTGTAGGTCATGAAACTAGAAAGGGGATGTGGGGGGTGATCTTAATGGTGGGAAACAGGATAATGGAATACCTGTAATGAAAGCAGGAGGGAAAACTAACAGGGGAAGGGATCCAGCTGGAGGTGGAGAGGCACAAGAAGAGCAGTGGGGGAGGGCAACAAGAGAACCAAGTATAATCTACATCATGGTGAAATCCCTTACTTTGTACACCAACCTCACAGAACTCAATATAAAAACGAGATTGACCTCCAACTCAGAGATCCACTTGCTTTCGCCTCTCAATGAAAGGCATGTGCCACCATTTCCTGCTTTAAAAGATTTTTTTTTTAAGGAGCAAAAGCAATAAAAGGGAGACAAGACAATCCTTCAAGAATTGGTGCTTGAATAATCACGTGCAAAGAGAGAAAGGGGCGGGGAGGGACATGAATAACAGCCCTTTTACACTCCGCAAAAGGCAATTCAACGGATCGCAGATCTAAATGTAAAATGCAGAACTCTCCCATTTCACCAGGGAAACTAAGACCCAGAGAATAAATTAAATGAAGGTTACACAGCTCAGGAGAGGACATAATTCAAACCTGACTGTGCTATTCCAAAGCCCTATTTCCTCACCAAACTTTATCTTTCCTTGACGGATCGTTCCTCACCTTTATAAAGATATGAAAGCTTGGCATGGGGGCACACACCTGAATCCCCAGTACTACAGGCTGAGGTAGGGGGATGGTGCATCAGAGACAAACCTACAGCTACAGTGAGACTGCCCACCCCCCACCCCTCAAAAATGGAAAAAAGTCACTGCATTTAGATTCATGCTAAATGAAGCTCCAATGTTCTTACCACTAAAAAGAAAAAAGAATGAAATTGCCAACTTTCATCTTAGCTCTGTTTCACAGCAGGGGGATCCTAGTCAGAGATCATTATGGGTGCCATGTACTTCTCATCAAACAGACCAAACATTTAGGGCCTGAGTCTGTAAACTTAAACCATTGTCAAAGACATAATGAACTTCCTTCTAAGGGTCTTGAGCACTCTTAGAGTATTATCCATTCATTTCATTAGCTCATTAATTTCACTTTTCTAAAAATATGTATTGCTGTTTTGCCTGCATGTATCTGTGTAAGGGTCTCAGATCCCCTGGAACTGGAGTTACAGTTGTGAGCTGCCATGTGGGTGCTGGGTCCTTTGGAAGAACAGCTGGTGCTCTTAATGCTGAGCCCTCTCTCCAGCCCACAAATTTCAATCTTTTAGAAGTATATGCTAGAAAGTGGTGGTGTCAGATCCCTTTAATCCCAGCACTTGGGAGGCAGAGGTAAGCAGATCTCTGAGTTCGAGGCCAGCCTGGTCTACAGAGTAAGTTCCAGGACAGCCAGGGCTAAACAGAGAAACCTTGTCTCAAAAACAAACAATAAAGAGTATATGCTGGATGCCTATTATGTGCACTCTGGAGGCAAAGGAAAGCAGGAAGATCTGGGAGCTTCAGACTAACACTGGCTCCAGACAAGAGTTTCAGACAAGCCTGGGTTTTATAGTGAGAACCTTTCAAGATACAGGACGAAGAGGTGCAGATATGTCTCTTGGTACCAGAAGCTTTAAATCTGTGGAGTGCTGTACCCTAGAGTACAGTGGGAGTCAAGCATGCAGTCTCCTATTTTCTGATGTCACATTTTCAAAAAAGTAAAATTAAACAGGTGACATAAAAATATATTTTATTTAACTCAACACATCAAAAATCATTTCAGTAGGTAATTGGCTATTTTACACTCTATGGGGAAGGGTTGTGAACTTGTCAGTGTACAGTGGTCACTCACAGCATCTCTCGGTTCAGACTGGTCACATTTCCAGTGCTCAGCAACCACATATAGGGCTAGGGATGAAAGGGTTGGACGGAAACAGGACCAGGGGGAAAGCCAAGTACAGTTAAGATTCTCCAGTCTAAATGTTCATTCTTCCTCACTGGAGGCCTTGAACTTCCTAAGCCCTTCTGATTCTCAAACCCAGGTTCATCCCGCCACAGGTTAAGAGAGGACAAAGAGCCTTGGCCTCAGTTCAAACACAGGGATCTAGCTGGCCTCAGTACACCAAACACCACTCATCCTTTCACTCCAAAGAGCCTCCCTCAGCTCTCATTCTCCAGGTCTGTAAAGGACCTTATTGTCTCTGAGCTCACTCTAGTCGTCTCTTTTAATCAATGGATCATTGAGCATCTCACATATGTAATTTTAAAGTGTAAATTATTTCAAACATGCACCTTCCTCTCCACCCCAAGGCCACTTTAATATAAAAAACAGCCTTGTAGCGGGTTCGCTTGCCTTAGCATCTCCCCTGACCATTTTAACTATAGTTACTATTCCCTAGGTTCTTGAGAGCGTTCTATCCCTATGGAATAAAGGCTAAACTCTATCACACAAAACAGAACTTCGCTCCAAGATCTGCTCTTTATTTACCTAACAAAGCCCAATTGTTTGCCCTGCCCAGACTGAACAAGGTCACTTACCTTCTGGCCTGGATACTTTTATTTTTGTAAAATTAGCCACATCAAAAATCACAAAGGCGGCTTGAGGCTTAGGCGCGGTAGTACACTAAATGACATATAATCGGGGGCCACCGTCCCCGTCGCTCCTTCACAGTTCCTAGCTCCCTTTTTAATTAAAGTAGCCTCTTTTTAATTCGGCAAAACGCATGTGGACAGGAAGACAAACTAAAGGTGGGACGACTCGATCTTTCCTTCCCCGGGCTCACCGCGATAACTTTTCAATTACTATCTTCACTCTCTAAGAATCTGAGACATTCTAGGAAGTTCAGGTCCGCAGGGCCCCAAGCCGCCCCTGAACCCCAACAACGCCTCAGTTCAAAACCCTCCAGACCGGAACGGAACAGCGACACACGTGGCGGCCGGGGGGGGGGGGGGACAGGGGGCGGGGTAGGAAGGCGGAGGCCCGGCTCGGCTACTGCGCCTGCGCGCTGCCTCTGGTTCAAGGACCCGTACTTAAAGAGACAGGCGGTCTAGTCCTCCTGAGAAGCCCGCGGCCTTGTGGGCTCCTAGTCGGGAGGCCCGTGTGGACCGTCGGAGCCTGGACAGCCGGGAAGGAAGGTGAGGGGCGGCGCGGCGGGGCGCGGGGCGCGGTGTGGGGAGGGATAGGGCCGGGGCCGAGAGCGGCGTGGCTGGAGAGCCCGTGGCTCCTCCCCCGCCCGCCGCTCAGCCTGGGGGCACACCCTCCGTGACGTGGCGGCCCCCCGGGAGCCCACAGGAGGCCCGCGGGCCCTGAGACCCCAGGCGGGCACCGGGGAGGGCAGGATGCCACCCGCGCCCGAGTGGGCGTCCCCAGGGGTTCGGGGTCCGGCCTTGGCCGGTCCCTCCCCGCGGCTCCCCGGCAGAGCCTGTAGGCAGAGCGGCGTGCTGGTCTTCGCGGCCCGGGGGTTCCCGAGCCTCCCCGCGCCGCTGGGCCCCGGTGGTTAATTGTCCTGTCCCGGGCCCATGGGATGGGTGGGGGCTGCACTCCATTCTCCGTGCTCTGCGGAAAGTGGAAAACTCCTACCCGCCCCTAGCTCCTCCTCGGCCCTGCTGTTCTTCAGTCGCTTCTCTGAAACGTGGGGCTTGTGTGACTCACTGCGAGCCTCCCAGTTAACCGACCTCCCTCTCCCCCGAGTCGTACATTGTCAATTACACAAGTTTGGTATATATATTCTCCGGGAATTCAGAACTCCATCGCCATCCCGCCCTCGAATTCGTTGTAATTCTCCTAACCACCCCATGCGGTAGTTCTAATCCTGGGGGTTGTTTTCATTTTGAGATGGACGGGCTTGCTATGTAGCCCTGGCTAGACTGAAATTTACTAAGTAAACCAGACACTCTGGCTTTGAACGTACACAGCAACCCTTCTGCCTTTGCCTTCTGAGTGATGAGATTACAGGCGAGAACCACCATAATTAGCTCTTAGTCTTGTTATAAAAATAAAACTGGGCCGGGGTGTGGTGGCACAATGCCTTTTACCTGCACTCAATGCCACCCTACTTTACAGAGTGACTTACCGGACAGCCAGGGCTACATAAAAAGATCATATCTCAAAAAAAAAAAACCCAAAAATAAATAAACATAAAATAAATGCAAACTAGGCGTGGTGATGCACAACATTAAGCCCATCAGAGGGAGGCGGATCTCTGTGTGTTGGAGGCCAGCTGGTATACAGAACTAGTTCCAGGAAAGCAAGAGCTGTTACATAGAGAAACTCTTGTCTCAAAAAAATAAAAAATAAATAGATAAATAAATTGAAGTTAGGCTTTGTGGCTCACACCTATAATCCCAGAACTGGAGGCAGGAGGATTGGCTGTTTAGGGTCGACCTTGTTTACATAGCAAGCTGGAGGAAACTGAGCCACCTGGTATCTGTCCCCCAGCCCACGGGTGGGCTTGGCCTCCCATACTATTTCTTCCATAGTACACCTGCTGTGCTGTGTGCTGTGTAGCACTGTGAGGAGTGCAGTGGGCTTTCTGTTGACACAGGAGCAATTTTGCTTCACAGCAGTGTGTAGACTACAAATAGTTTCTAGTATATTGGAAATTAAAACTATAAAGCACTCAGTACTTATAAATATAAGAAGGGGTAGGTATAATCACAGTTTCCACTTGGATTGATTCATCCATCACTTCCTTTGACTTTTACAGTCCAGTTATTTCAACTTTCCCTGATTCAGGTTACTGAATTTAGCAAGGGAATTGCTTATCCTGTTTCTAAGGATTTTACTTTTAGGAGCAGATGGGTAAAGTAACTTGCTGAGGGTCACACAGCTGATAAATGGCTGAGCAAGGTTTTGAACCCAGGCAGTCAGTCTGATTATAGGCTCTGATGAGTTGCTTCTCAAAGGAGGGCTTCTTCTGAAACCCCAAATCTGTTATAGTGGCTTAATTATTTTCTAAAGGTGACTCGTGTGTTATATTTCACAGGGAAACTTCATAAACACAATGTAATTTTTCTTGGTTATTAAGACAGTGCTTCAGAATTTTGGTAATATTTAAAGGGCACCATCCATTATTAGTATCTCATGTTGTTGATGGTGCATGCCCCTTTGGAAACTGATGTTTCCTGTATTGGAATTCTATTTTAGCCTAGGTGAATGCTTTGGGAAGTGCTTGATTAATCACGAGCTCTGTATGAGATTCTGGCCATTAAGAAATTGTAAGCCTGTCTTCTTCATGTCTTTGTGTTTGTTTTCCTACCCTTTCATGCAGCTGTATGACTTTGGCTTTCAAGATCCTCTTCCCAAGAAATCTTGGTGCCCTTGGCAGAAAACAACTGTGCCTGTTCCTAGACCAGAATCACTGGCCTGTCATAAGACAGTTCAGCCAGTGGTTGGAAACAGATCTCCTTCGTGGGTGCTGCCTCCTCCAGAGAAGAAAGCCTGTCCTATCCTTCCGGGGAGGTCATCTAAGACCGCGTGCCACCCACCTTGTTTTCTTCCCAGGGTCGCATGTGGGACTCTGTACTGGCCCCTGTGAGATGGCGGAGCAACGATTCTGTGTGGACTATGCCAAGCGGGGCACAGCTGGCTGCAAGAAATGCAAGGAGAAGATTGTAAAGGGCGTATGCCGCATTGGCAAAGTGGTGCCCAATCCCTTCTCAGAGTCGGGGGGCGATATGAAAGAGTGGTACCATATTAAGTGCATGTTTGAGAAGCTGGAGCGGGCACGGGCTACCACAAAAAAAATCGAAGACCTCACAGAGCTGGAAGGCTGGGAAGAGCTGGAAGATAACGAAAAGGAGCAGATAAACCAGCACATTGCAGGTAGGGTGGAGAGCCTGGTTCCCCAGCTTGCTGGGGCTAATAGAGGAGGGTGCAAGGAGACTAGTGTCTAGGAGATTTCTTTCTCTGTGTGTCTTGCTTGGACATAATTTCAAATTCACAGAATAGTTATAAGAATAAAATTAGTAACAAGAACACTCACGTTCTCTTTACACAGATTTCCTTCTTGATACTAGTCAGTTTACTTTTCATTTCTGTATATGTACTTGCTCTCTACATATCTGGCTTGTTTTTATTGAGCCATTCAGAGAAAGTTATGTCATCAGGCCCAGAGGTACTCCAGCATGTATCATAAAAAATAGGATCTTCTCTTACATGACCATAGTTTACCTGTCAACCTCAGTAAACTTTACCTTGATGCAATACTTTCTTATCTGTATACTGTTTTTTCAGTTGACCGAATGCTATAATTTAGTAGTACGTTTTCTTCTGTTGCAGGATTCAGGTGTAGAATCAGATTAGGTACTGCATTTAATTGTCATGTCTCTTTGGCCTCCTGTACTCTGCAACATTTCTAGAGGGTCTTTTGGGGTTTTGTTTTTTGTTTTTAGATGTGTTCCTGCCGTGCCATGTAGCTTGGGCTGGCCTCACACTTGGAGCCATCACCTTGCCTTGTCTCTACAGGACTAATATAGACTTGTGTCACCAAGTCTGGTACACTATGGTCTTTCTTTTAGATGTTGATTTTTTTTTAAAAGAATAAAAGACTGGCTACCACTGTTTTAGCTGTCAACTTGCTATCTTTATGAACTTGTAGATTACTACCTTTTATCAGGGACTTAAGTTCATTATGGTACTTAACTGTCTCATATTTGGCCAGCTTACTTAGTAGTCCCATTAGGGTGGCTTCTATATCCTGTATACCCTAGTTTCTTCTTTGTCTCTGTCTCTCTCTCTGAGCAGTCTTGCTGGTAGCCCTAGCTGACCTTAAACTCTCAGTCTTTTCTGCGTCATCCTCTCAAGTCCCAAAGTTGCACACATCTGCCAACCACACCTGGTGTGTCCTTTTCCTGGAGTTTTAGCTAGGTGAGGTGGCACAAGCCTGCGGTCCTGGTTAAGGATTCAGGAGTGAGTTTAAGACCTCCTGGGCCACATTTTATAAGTGCTCATGTATTGGGCATAAGAGGATGCTCTTGACTTTCTTCTGTATGTCCTCTCCTAGCTGTGGCAGTAGCCATTCCTCTGAGGAGTCTGAATTCCCATTAATGGAAAACAGTTTCAGAAACCAAAATCTGGATGCTGTATGTCTCATCATCTTAGGGTGTCTTTGCTTCTAAGTCCTTGGAACAGACAACTAGAAAGATACATGCATGCATATACATAAAATCACATATATTGATACATATAGCCACACGTACATGCTTACTCCTATATGTGTATCTGAGGACTCTTAGAGTCTCTAAAGTAATAGATCGAAAGGCTGTGGCTCTAAAGATGGGTCTCTTATTCTCAGCCTTTGTTACTGACGGTCTCATTCAGGGGAAGGGGAGGGCAGTCAACAGGAGTTTTCCTCCCTGAGCCAAACAGGCATGCCTGGTTTCTTTGCTATCCAGAGGTTGGTCCAAGTTTTAGCTTCCAAAATGTGATTACTGGGGCTGGAGAGAGGGCTCAGCGGTTAAGAGCAAAGGTGGCTCTTCCAGAGGACCTGGGTTCGATTCCCAGCACCCACAGGGCAGCTCACAACCGTCTGTAACTCCAATCCCAAGGGATCCAGTGCACTTTTCTGCTTCCCTGGGTGCCAGATACACACATGGTACACAGACATATGTGCAGGCAAAATACCCATTCATATAAAAATAAAAAGTCTTTAAAAATAAATGATTATTGTTTTCCCCAAATCTGTACTTTAAGCAATTATTATATATTGGATAAGAGGGGGGGAATTTTGATGAAATATCGTTACCAGTAGAGGCAAATGATCACCAAAATACCCTTTTCTTCTCTCTGTCCAATACCCTTGTACCTTCTCCAAACACTCAAAAAGACCAGCCAGCCTGGGGTCATAGTACAATAGAAACTTACCAAGCAAGGATTTGGGAACTGTTGATAAAATCCCCAAAAGCTTCCTCGGCGGTCTTTCTCTGAAGGACGATTTTATTCTTTGTGGGTCCTATAGACCTGTCTTCTAAGGCAGCCGGCACACCAAAGAAGAAGACCGCTGTCCAGGCTAAGCTGACAACCACTGGCCAGGTGACATCCCCCGTGAAAGGTGCCTCGTTTGTCACCAGTACCAATCCCCGGAAGTTTTCTGGATTTTCAGGTAAGATGGGTTAAGGCTACTTTCCCTTTTAAGGCCCTCCTTTGTTTGGCTTGTCTGGGCAGTCCAGCCATAGCTCACCCTCTGTGCTCCACTTGCATAGCATTTCTTTTCGTACTTTAATCTCTCCTGTAGCAAGGAACATGTTGTTTTGTCAGTACTTCTACCACTTGAAGTTATTACCTGGGTCAAATGGTTTTTCTAACCAGCTCTTTGCTTCTTGGTGTTTTGTTTTTTGATTGCTTGGGTTAGGTTGGTTTGGCTTGGTTTTTAAGACAGGGTTTCTTTGTGCAGCCCTGGCTGTACTGGATCTCACTCTGTAGACCAGGCTGGCCTTGAACTCACAGAGATCCACCTGACTCTGCTTCCCGAGTGAGTGCTGGGATTAAAGGCGTGCGCCACCACTGCTTGGCTATTTCTTTTAATGACAGAATTCTGAGGAAGTTGTTCCACAAACTTGCCTGAACTGGAGATGGAAGTGTCATGCATAGAACATTTTTCTTTGATTTTCCTTGATAGTCATTGCCTATATATTCGTATGGTAGAGATGTATGAGTGAGGAGCCAGAAGGAAAATCTGAACAACAGGTGTCTTGTTCTGTTAGGAGACAGTAGAGCCCAATGATAAAGCAGGTGGACTTGCGAATTAACAGGCTCTGGGTTCAGACTCCATCTCCTATCTCTTGTTTATGTCTCAGCAAGATAAAGAATAATTTGTAAACATGCACACACATGGGTAAGTTGTTTCTGTTGTATAACAAACTACTGTTCAAAGACATGGAATCCATAAAACTTTGCTAGAACTTATGCTGCTGATGGGACTTGAGAGGACCGTTGATTGGCTATAGGTAAGAGAAAGCATTGGCCTATGGACTTTTGTTCTTCACTTAACCTGAAGAAGTGCTTTTCTGTTGTGCTCATTATGCTCATTTTATGAATGAATTGAAGTTCAGGCTCACAGTGGAGCTATTATTGCACTGATGTCTGTTTGTTCCAGTAGTGTGTTATTTTTCCTATACCCTGTATTCTGTTTTATTGTTCGAGATAAACAATTCTTATAACTGGCTCAGTTGAAGAAAATAATAAAATGAAACCCTTTGGACTTGAGTAGTTTGGAGGTTCAAAGAGGCCTAGATGTGAAGTCAGGAGAATTGAGGTTTGGCCCACGCTTGACAGCTCGGTGCTTTGAGCAAGTCTTCACCTGTTTGAGTCTCTGTGGCTTCAGCTGTGCATGAAGACATTAGTCCTGTCATGAGGACTGTGGGATATGTTACAGAAATTATGCCTGGATCTGTAGGAGTTTCGCATGCACACACGGTTAATTTGTTCTGTTTAAGAGAGAGAGTCTTGGGCTGGAGAGATGGCTCACCTGTTAAAGGCTGGACTCATAACCCAGAAATGTAAGAGAAAGGGTCTTCTGTTCAGCCTGTTCTGAAATTAAGATCCTCCTGCTTCAGCCTTCTGGGTGCTAGAAATACAGGCATGTGCTGGTCTTTGGCAGTTTTTATTATGTGAAAACTCAGGTTTGTTTGTTGTTGGTAGTAGCCAACGATAGGGCCGCAGCAGAGTCCCGGTGACAGTCAAGATAACATGATTCTGGAAAGACTCTGGTGTTGTGCATGGAATTTCGAAGAGTTGGAAGGAATAGGGTGCTCTCCTTCTTGAACCTAGCTAAATACTATGCTTTGGAAAGATCCCTGCCCCATAGCAGATTTAGATTCCAGGTCAGAGGTGACAACAGATTTACAATGTACAAAACCCAAACAAGAAGCCTCGTTAACAGCTCCTAGCTCAAACAACTTCTGCCTTGGCCTTGTAAAAGGCCACAAAGAAAGCCGGGCGGTGGTGGCGCACGCCTTTAATCCCAGCACTCGGGAGGCAGAGGCAGGCGGATCTCTGTGAGTTCGAGGCCAGCCTGGACTACCAAGTGAGTTCCAGGAAAAGGCGCATAGCTACACAAAGAAACCCTGTCTCGAAAAAACCAAAAAAAAAAAAAAAAGGCCACAAAGAGGTGAGAAAGAATCACCAAGGATTCACTCTCTCAAAATAAAACTGTCTTTTATTTTGACAATAAGAAAAGACAAACTGGAATGCACTGGTGGGTCCTGACTTTCTTGCTGACATCCCTGTCTTGGTTCTTTTACCAAGGAGGTAGGTGGTCTTGAGTTGTCTGCTCTCGGGCCTTGGTCTCATCATAAGAGGACAGTGAACTCTGTAATCCTTCAGGTTTGCAGCAGTCCTGACAAGCCACAATGGCAATAATTTCCACATGTCCTTTGGTTTCTTCTCCCTTTCTCATCCCAGCTTTTCTGGAGTGAGAATTACAATTGTTCTGAGATCCACTCGATGGCTTGTGGCATGAAAGTAGTCTTTGTTCCTGTGTGAGATGCTCATATAAGCAGATGCTTCTCAGTCCAGTCTCAAGCAGTGGTATTTGGGCCAATTACTTGCCCTCCATATCTGTACTTGTGACATGGGTCCAGTACATCTACCTCCAGTGACTTGTTGCGGGGACTGAATAAAACTACATATAAAGCCCCAGCAAAATTTTCATTTTCTTCCTTCCTCTTTGTGCTTCCCAAAAAGGAAAAAAGAGAATCATGTGCATTGTTTTTCTCTCTCCAGCAGCCAAACCCAACAACTCTGAGCAAACCCCCTCAAGCCCTGCCCCTAAGACAAGTCTGTCTGCACGTAAATGTGACCCTCAGCACAAAGATTGTCTACTTCGAGAGTTCCGGAAGCTGTGTGCCATGGTAGCTGAAAATCCTAGCTACAATACAAAGACCCAGATCATCCAGGACTTCTTGCAGAAAGGCTCTACAGGAGGTAAGGCTGTGAGCATCCGAGTATGTTTTCCCTCTGAAAAGCTCAGAGCCATGACCAGCTTTATGGGCATACATATCGGTGTCTTAATTCTTGATAATCTTGAAATGGGATCCTATAGTTGTAATTGTCACCAGACCTTTTATATTAATAGCCAATTCTGTGCAGGGTGCTTGGCCATTTTCTTCCTCAGTTCTTAGTCCTTAGGAGGCAGAAGAACCCCTTTGGCCAGTAGAGAAGTCCACTTAGATATGTGATTAGGTGAACCACATGCCGAGTGTAGAGTAGAATCTTCTGGCTGTTTCTTTCATAGATCCAGAAAATTGTCACTTAGTATCTGTTGTATCATCACAAATTGAAAGTCAGGGCTTTGCCCAGTGGGAGATCATAAGGTAAAAAGGTGAGGCAGACCAAAACCATAGCCAGTGACCACCACTACTGTAGTAATACATGCAAGGAACTGTGGGAAGCAATCCCTGCCTTTTTTTTTCTGTGTGTGTGTGTGTGTGTGTGTGTATAGTTTAGGTAGGGTTTCACTGTGTATCCTTGGCTGTCCAGGAATTTACTATGTAGACCAGGCTGGCCTTGAACTCACAGAGATCTGCAGGCTTCAGCCTCCTGAGTGCTGGGATTAAAGCTGTGTACCACACACCTGGCAGCTCCATTTCTGAATGGAATTTTCCTTCCTTTTGTTTTCAGATGGCTTCCGCGGTGATGTGTACCTAACAGTGAAGCTGCTGCTGCCGGGAGTCATTAAGAGTGTTTACAACTTGAACGATAAGCAGATTGTGAAACTTTTTAGCCGCATTTTTAACTGCAACCCAGATGAGATGGCTCGGGACCTAGAACAGGTCAGAGGCCGGTGTAGGGAGGCCACACCCCAGGTGGGACTCTGCCGGGTTAGCTTCCCCACAGCCAGTTTTAAAAATAACTGAGCACATACTGGTGTAGGGAACTGAAACTTATTGAACAAGATTCTGTTAGTCTAGGGAAGCTGAGTGTGAGGACACAGCTGTTTCTTTCTTAAGTTTAATAACTGAAAAACGTACCACTGCCAAGCCACAAAAGGCCTTATCTGAAAAGTCAGGACTTAAGACTTGCTTTTGTATCTCCTGGGGCTGTTCTGGCTTTATTTGCATGCTTGCTTTCCTTCTTTCTGTGTACATTCATCTTTGGCTTGTTTGTGACTCCAGCCTTGGTGCCATGGAAAGTTTCATTCCAAACGTCTACTATTGGAAGGACTGTGCCTTAGTTTAGATTCTTAAACAGGAATCAAATTGGCTTAGTGCTATGTCTCTACTCAGCTAAAGCAAGTGGGTAGCCTCATGTGGATAGATAGGCCCCTTCTAGGAACTGGTGGGGAGAGAGTTCCTGAGAACTACTTTGGGACAGGAGCTGTGGTTGAGCTCTTGATTAGTCCCAAGCTCCCTGGGGTTGCAGCAGTGGCATTTTGGTTTTTGGAGACAGGGTGACGTGTCAGAGACGATCAGAGTCTTCTTTGAGCAGAGCAAGTCTTTCCCCCCAGCTGCCAAGAGTCTCCTCACCATCCAGGAAGTGGATGCATTTCTCCTGCACCTCTCCAAGCTCACCAAAGAGGATGAGCAGCAGCAGGCCCTGCAGGACATTGCCTCCAGGTGGGGGAGCTGCCCTATTCAAACCAGACCCAATGGGGATGGACTGCTCTGGGAAGGAAGGTTGGGGGATCAGAGTTCTTCAGAGATCAAGCTGAGTATTCCTCCTCTTTCTAGGTGTACAGCCAATGACCTTAAGTGCATCATCCGGCTGATCAAACATGATCTGAAGATGAACTCGGGTGCAAAACATGTGTAAGTACCATGGCTCCTCTGACAGCCTGAACTGCCAACTTCCTCATTCCCCACTGCTCTCAGGACTTGGGAGACCTGCTACAAATTTGAACCCTAATTGTTACTTCCTGTGGGACCCTAACTCACCTCCACACCCATTTTCTCACATGTAAAGTAGAGATAGCTATCTTTAACACAAAGCTGCTACAACTGAAAGCCTAGAACAGGCTTCTTGCCCATTCCAGCTCCATTCTCTGCCAAAACTATACCAAGTAAGGCACAGGGTCTCAGAACCCTGAGTGTTCTGTTTTTTCCAACCTTTGATTTCCAACCTTTTGACTTTTTAACATCTACAAAATTCATGCTCAAGAATTGTTTATTCAAGTTACAGAAAAGGAAATTAGAAAAAAAACTTTTTTGTTTTAAATAAATTTGACCATTTTGTGTTGGAGTGCATTCATAACTCTTTGGTTCCATGTGACTGCTCCTGTAGGTTAGAAACATCTTCAAGTTAAAGGATGGAACAAGGCTACTTCCCCAGCATCTCTCCTGTCTATGACAGACTGCTACCCTAAGCCATAATGTCAGATGTAGAGGTTTGTTTCCTTGCTCCTGTTGCCCTTGGCAGGCTAGATGCACTTGACCCCAATGCTTATGAAGCCTTCAAAGCCTCACGCAACCTGCAGGATGTGGTGGAGCGGGTCCTTCACAATGAGCAGGAGGTGGAGAAGGACCCAGGCCGGAGACGGGCTCTGAGCGTCCAGGCCTCACTGATGACTCCTGTGCAGCCCATGCTGGTAAGGAACACTGCCTTGTCCCTATAATCCATGTCTCCAGGTTGCTGGCACCTGAAAGGGGATGAAAGGCAAGAGCTCTTTCTTGTAGGTTGCCTAGAGAAGTGTGAGAAGGAAGAGTGGAGATGAGCAGAGCAGGGCTAGGCTGGGAAGTAAAGGTGCAGAAGACAGTGACCTAGTACAACCTCAGCCTAGTGCCCAGCACTGCCACCAGCAAGCCTGGGACAGGGCACCCGGCTTCCTTTGCGCTTTACTTTCCCTGTGGGAGTGGCATGTGAGACCAAGTAATTTAGCATCACACTTGAAGACAGGGCTATGCTCAGTAGCCCCCATGGCTGTGACCTCCTGCAGGATAGTTCAGAGCTGGCAACAGAGCCAGGCCTCTTGTGACAGAAGCTCAAGGAATAAAGCCTCACTCCAGTACATAACTTGGATTTCTGCAGCTTTAGTGAGGATGGCTGTCCCTTCTGGGTTTATGTGCAGCAGAGTCAGTATCTGCTGCTCTGCCACTTGCTGTGAATCCCCTTGGGCTGTCCAAGGGTATATAGGGAAGAATTGTTTTTGTTTTTGTTTTTGTTTTTTTTCTTCTTTGAAACTGCCTTATAATATTAAATCCTTGTGTTAGGCTTTTATGTTTGGGATAGGGAAGAGTTCTCTCACTACCAAAAATACAGGATAGCCAGTGCCAGAATAGTGTGGTCTCCATGCTAGGGACAGAACCACCTCCCTCATTTGAAGAAGGGTCTTCTCTATCTTCTATGGGAGTGCTTCCTAGAGACCTTGCCACAGCTTTGTCTGAAGAGTGGTGTGGATTGCATGCTTAGTACTTTAGCACACAGGCTTGGGAGGAGGGCATATACACATCTGAGTCTGACTGTTTACTGGCTGCATGACCTTATGTGAGTGCATATCCGCCCAGACTTCCTGTTCTCTCCTGCAGCATTTGTCATATAAGGTGTCATCAAAGATGAAAGGACATTGTGGTCTGTGGCCTGACAAGAACCCCAAAATGGTAGTTACTGTTTGGGTCTGGCTGGTGCCAGTATGTGAGTGAATGTGTCTGTGTCTGGGTGTCCTGTCCTGTCAGTCTCAGATTGCAGTCACCCTGCTAGCCTGTCACCGTCACTTACTGTGATAGCAAGTGTGTTTAATAAGCCAGGTGCCTTGTAAGAGCCTAATTACTGAGAAAAAAATTTTACTTCAGAATTGTATTTATTCTAGAATGGATAGCATTTATATTTTTCAGAATGCAGACTGTTAAGCCAACTAACTCTGCTGATGGATGAGCTATTTTTTATTTGAGACAATCTTGCTGTGTAGGCCATAATATCAACTGGTGATTTTATAATCAGAATATAGCATTGCCTGGCCTTTTGCAATACCATCACCCCTTCAGCAGCAGTCTGTCCTGAGGCAGTTCCAGAACCCAGTTAAGTCCTGACAACCCCAGCCCCAGGCTCTGCTAAGGAGCCCCAGTTGAAGGGATCCAGCATTTGCTTTCTCCATCCTAAGGCTGAGGCCTGCAAGTCCATCGAGTATGCAATGAAGAAGTGTCCCAATGGCATGTTCTCTGAGATCAAGTACGACGGTGAGCGAGTCCAGGTGCATAAGAAGGGGGACCACTTCAGCTACTTCAGCCGCAGTCTCAAGCCTGTCCTGCCTCACAAGGTAACAGCCTGCAGCCAGGACTTTCTCCTTGCCTCTAAGAACCACGGGGCCAGAATTACAGGTCTTTCCAGCTGTGCTTTATAGAAGAGAATTTGTTTCTATCTGTAAACGGATGGAGGGAATTCATTCCTGGACCCTTCCAGTAATGAAAGGCTGCTTAGCTGGGACAGCCACAGAGCCCAGACTTGGGTTATCAGGCAGGAAAGAGCTCCCTGGATGATGCAGCAGCACAGACTGCAAGCTCAGGGCAGGTCTGGTGTCTGTGTCTCCTGTACTCCTGCTGGCTGGATTAAGGTTCATGTACAAGGAACTCTTGTGCTGTCGTCCTTCATTAGCTTGCTCAACAAGTACTTCTCAAAGGCTAGGCACTGTTGTAGCTAGTGGACATATAAAAGTACAAACAATAGATGAAAGCTCTGACCCTCGTGGAGCTTGTAGTTTATGTGCACATTATTGTGGGGCTCTCTGGGATCCCTGATTCCTGCCCTAATCAGAATTGATGGAAATTGAGAACCTCATTCCTCAGCCCTTCTCAGCTCCCAGGGCCAGCCTTTTGAGGTCTGTGGGAGAGAAGCAGCTGGGTTATATGGCCCTACTAGCTTGTGAGTAAATGGATTCCTAGCTTTGCTTCCCCTTTCTTTCTCAGTTCTGACTTGGTTTCTCAGAGTCTGTGCCTTGGGGAATGTGTTGTATGGTCCAATAGAGACCTGGTAGCTAGGCCACTTGTTTTATGGGTTCAGCAAGAGAGCTGGGCAGTAGTGTTTCATGGAGCTGTAAGTGAGGAGGTTCATTTGTTCCAGGGGCACTGAAACTGATCAGGAACTGCTGTGATAAGGATGGTGTTATACAGAGCCACTTGTGACCCTGGGACATTTGAACACAGCTTTCTTGAATATGTTTTCTTTACCTTTCTAAATATTGCAGATTGAACCCAGGCTTACAGAAGCTAGGTGAGGGCTGCACACTAAGCTATGTTCCTACCTCAGGGTCCTTTGGTTCTAGAAGGGCTGGGTTGGGGATAGAAGGGAATAAGGATAGACGATCAGGTCTTTCCTCATCCCACTCCATATCCTAGGCAGTGAATGACTGCCCATGTGCTGCTCTTAGGTGAGCAATTAGACCATTGTCAGGCTCTTTGGTATCCTTTGTCAAGGAATACCTGGGGTTGCAGTGGGATGTATCCCACTGAGCAGTCAGAAATTAGGGCTCTGCTTCTGTTAGGAAACATCCAGTCCCAGGGCTCATACTCTGAAGACAACAGGGGCTTCAGAGCTCCCATTTAGAGAAGACTCTGTTCTCATTCTTCACTGTTTATGGGCTTTGTTTCCCCCATTCCTGTCCTCCGCCCGGTAACACCAATCTTCTGGAATGGACACTAGTCTCTACCTGCCCATCGTTCCTCTTTCCTTTCCTCCCATATTTGTCTACCTCCATGTCCTCCTGACATACTAACTGTTTCTTCCTTTTTCCTCCAAACCGTCTGTACAGCCCATAGAACGTGACTCAGAGTAGGCTGACCATTTGCTGGGTCTAGACAGAGGTGATAAACAGATAGCCTGCTCCCCTCTCAGGGAGGACTGACACAGCCTTGCTGTGCATTTCACCCACTGCCTGAGCTTCCATATGCTCTCTATTTGGCCGGGGCTTTGATCACTATGGCTTGGTTTTAGGTCCTAACTGCCAAGCCATCCTTGCCAAAGCTACCTTTCTCCTTCCAGGTGGCCCACTTTAAGGACTACATCCCTAGAGCTTTTCCTGGCGGTCAGAGCATGATCTTGGACTCTGAGGTGCTCCTGATTGACAACAACACAGGCAAACCACTGCCCTTTGGGACTCTGGGAGTGCACAAGGTACACACTCAGAGTCCTGTGTGCAAAAATGTGCTGTTAATCTAAAAAGGGGGTGAAGGGAGGATAAGTCACTTAGGACAGGGCCCGTTCCTTTGTTTGTTCTTCTATAAAAAGGAGTTGCTTATTAGGAACCAACTTAGAATTGAGTTGGTTTCAGTTCAGTTTTTCCATCACTGTAACAAAATACCAGAGATAACTATTCTATAAAGGAAATAGTTCTAGAGGTTATGGTCAGGGAATACAGGAGCCCATACCCTTAGATCAGTGCTAATGCAGGACATCATGGCGAGAACATGTGACTGAGCAAAATCATTTACATCATGAACTGAGGAGCACAGAGAGGGAAAGCCCCACGATCCCTTTAGAGTACACCGCTAGTGACTTAAGACCTTCCCTACTTCACCACCCTGGGGGCTGAGTCTTTAACACTTGGGCCTTTGGGAAATGTTGGTGTTCTGAAGTTTAGTGAGCACCATCTATGGAGTGTTCTATGGCCTGGGGCCTGCAGAGCACCAACAGGACTGTCCACTGGGGGCTGCAGAAGTGGACTGCTACTCCCCTGTTTCCATGCCCACATGTACCTACTGCCTCATTTCCCCTCCAGAAAGCTGCCTTCCAGGATGCTAATGTCTGCCTGTTTGTTTTTGATTGTATCTACTTTAATGATGTCAGCTTGATGGACAGGTAAGTTAGTGTTTTGATATGTTTTCTTTTGTTTTTGTTTTGTATGTGTGTGTTTTTCATGTTTTGCAGTACTAGGGATGAAATCCAGGGTCTTACATGTATTAAGCATATGCTCTACATTAGATTTTATTCCTAGGCTACCATCTTTAAACTCAGAATCTATCTGCACTGGAGATTTATCTGGGTTGGGCCTATAGAGGCTTCAGTTAGGAAAGAGATAGGCTAACATTTGTGCATCTATCAGCTTGCAGGGGATGCCATGGTTGAAATATCCAAGGAGAACTGGCAGTCTGGTGTGAGCTGCATCCATAGGCTTAGACCTACACAGCTGATACTTGTCCTTTACGCACTTAGGATGTCTCCTTAATCTTGTTTCTATAGTTGCTGCATCCATGATTAAGAAAGAAAATGGAAAGAATTGATGGGGAGGGGTCTCGAAGCCTGTACCAGCCTTGTGTTATGCCCCATACCTACTAGGCACGGTGTGGAGCATAACCTGTGTCAGGCTGTTCACTCAGAGGCTAGCCACCCTGGGGGTTAGGCTAAGACAGAGTGGGGCATTGGCACAAGAGTTGTAACGTTATTCATTGTAGTCTGGACTGGAGACCGGTGTTCTCTTGGCTCAATAGAGGAGAAAGCACAGCTATGAACTGGCTATGAGCCACAGCTCACAGTAGTCCATCTACAGTGTTGATGAGTCCTTGCAACCCTTGACAACAGAACTGTTCATATGGGAATCCGCAGCTGCCCCCTCCTGAAGCATCAGTTTTACAGTTTGACTGTACTGGTTAGAAACCCTGCCAGGGGTGGGGTGGGGGGGGAGGCTCTTTCCCTCAGCTCGGCTGTTCCCCTTAGGCCTCTTTGTGAGCGACGGAAGTTTCTTCATGACAACATGGTTGAAATCCGTAACCGGATCATGTTCTCAGAAATGAAGCAAGTCACAGTAAGTGAAGTTCCAATCCTAGGCGGGGATGGTTTTTAAACAGCAGAAAACCCCATGGGGTGTGAGAGGATGAGGCTTGGGTGTTCTTTTGTGGGGTCCATCTATTGCCTAATTGTCTTCACTCTGAAGGGCATGAAAGTCTTTTCCTAGGTAAGCAGCCTCCATCTCAAAGCCACAGCAGCTCTTTAGGACCTTTTTCTTACATCTAAATATGTTCCTACCTAAGTGTATAAAAGTGAACACTGTCCATTCTCACATTGTCTGCATGTCTCTCTTACTGTTCCTCAGAAAGCCTCAGACCTGGCTGACATGATAAACCGAGTGATCCGAGAGGGCTTAGAAGGGCTGGTGCTGAAGGATGTGAAGGTAAGATGGCTACACCCTTGTCTTCTCCTGCTGGAGATGACAGAGGTACTGGAGGTGGGAGAGAGTTAAAGCTACATGGGAGTCTTTCGTACTTAACTGGGGCAGGCCAGTCCTGGATCTGAAAATAGCCTTGTGTGTCCTATAGTGCCTGGATGCAGAGATCTGGCTGGGCCACAGTGGTGAAAAAGACAGACCCTACCCTCATGGAGTTTCCATTCTCTGTGATGTATTTATTGTGTCCCCTCAGGGTACATACGAGCCTGGGAAGCGGCACTGGCTGAAAGTTAAGAAAGATTATTTGAACGAGGGGGCCATGGCTGATACAGCTGATCTGGTGGTTCTTGGGGCCTTCTATGGGCAAGGGAGCAAAGGTCAGTGGTGTCTGGTCCCTGTGGTGGTACCCTATCAGAAGACACACACTGGCCTCCTTGCTAGCTTGATCTGCTGGTCATGGATTGCTTGGTCCTGGGATCTGGGGCCCTGGTCACATCAGGCAGGGACATCTGGGATCTACAGGCTGACACACAGAGGTCCGGTAAGAAGAGCTGATGCCCCCTACCCCCAATCCTTCCAACCTAAATTGATCACTAGCACCTACATGGTAAAAGGAGAGAACTGACTCCCACAAGTTGTCCTTGACCTCCCCCCCACACACACTACACTGAGCATGTTTGAATATTGAGTATGACTGGTACACAAAAGATAAATACAAAAATGTTTCAAAAAGGAAAAATAATAAAAAGAAGTTGGTCGGGATTTACCTTCTGCTGTCTTGACACAAGGAAGCTCAACACCAGCTGTTTCAAGGCCTGACAGCTTCCTCCTCAGAAAACTCAGTTTCCTGATTGGGGAGAAGGATGAGGTCTGAGGAACAAACACTTAAGGCAGTGTATCAGTTGTGTCTGCTGTGTTTTAGGCACTGTCCAATTCCTCAGAGCCCAGGAAATTATTGAGTGTGATCACTCTAACACCTTTTTTTTTTTTTTTGAGATAAGAGTTTCTTGGTGTAGTTTTTGGAGCCTGTCCTGGAACTCACTTTGTAGACCAGGCTGGCCTCGAACTCAGAGATCCGCCTGCCTCTGCCTCCTGAGTGCTGAGATTAAAGGTGTGCACCACCACTGTCTGGCTACTCTAACACTCTTGATGCTAAGGCCCTTCTCCAACCAGCCTATCATGGGCCTTGCCCATTCTAGCCCACACTCAATTCATGTTCCCCTCTCAGGTGGCATGATGTCAATCTTCCTCATGGGCTGCTATGACCCTGACAGCCAGAAGTGGTGCACTGTCACCAAATGTGCTGGAGGCCATGATGATGCCACACTTGCCCGACTGCAGAAGGAGCTAGATATGGTGAAGATCAGCAAGGTGAGAAAGGCTTCCTGTTGACCCTGGCTCTGACAGTTCTCACTCCCAAGACACAGGCTGTGCTTTGGGGACTGAGGTCTTCAGGTCTTGTTTTTAATTCAGTAAGGAGCTTGCTTCTTGGCCACAGGAGCAGGATTAGGCTTTAAAGCCTCAGAGATCCTACCTTGTGGATGATGGCCTGTGTCCTATGGGCCACAGCCTCTCTGAAGAGGAAGGATCACTTGGGGTGAAGGGTCATCCTTTTTAGCTAAGCCACATTTCACAGTGTCTTTTCTCCATCAGGATCCCAGCAAGATACCCAGTTGGCTGAAGATCAACAAAATCTACTATCCTGACTTTATTGTCCCAGACCCAAAGGTATCAATTTGATAGTTTGTGGGCCCCACCCCGGAAGTAGTATGCAGTTCTCCAGTGCCACAGAAAGCCCAGGATGGGACTTGGATATTCAGCCATCACTGAGGACTTTCTTAGTAGAGGGGGAGCAAATTCCAATTCATTTGTCCAAGGGCCTGTTGTAGAAGGACCTAGCCAGGCCCTTCTTAAGCAGACAAGTTTCCAGAGGAGGCAGAACTGGCAGACATGCCTCCTGGGTGCCAGTGAGAACCTCTGTACTTTGACCTGGTTGACACTGTTTCTGGCTGCTGAAGACTTCCTTCTTGGCTATAGATAATCTACCTCTTTTATTCCTGACAGAAAGCTGCTGTGTGGGAGATCACAGGGGCAGAATTCTCCAAAGCTGAGGCTCACACTGCTGATGGGATCTCCATCCGATTTCCTCGCTGCACCCGAATCCGGGACGACAAGGACTGGAAATCTGCCACTAACCTCCCCCAACTCAAGGTGCCATCTCCTTGGCTTTCTAAATGCCCTCCACCCCACTGTCTTGCTCTTATTGGGCATCTGGCCTATTCACATGTCATTTGGCTTCTTAGCTCTGTGACAAAACAAGGAGAGCAGTTAAGAGTTGAAACTTCGTCCCAGCTCACCCTCCTCGGGTCTCCTGAAAGGCCTTCTAGCTTCCCACAGCCTGTTTAGGAGTTGCCCCAGGCCACAGTCCTACTTTACTAATTAAGAACCGAGGTTTAGGGGCTGGGGAGATGGCTCAAGGGGGTTAAGAGCACTGACTGCTCTTCCAGAGGACCCAGGTTTGATTCGCAGCATCCACACTGCAACTTACAACTGTCTGTAACTCATTCTAGGGATACAGTATCCTCTTCTGGGCTCTGCAGGCACCAGACATTTACATGGTGCATAGACACATAGACACATATTCAGGCAAACACCTTTTTTTTTTTTTAAAGAAAAAGAACTGGGATTTAGGCAGAATATAGTATTGTACACCTTTAAAATTCCAGCACTCAGGAGGCAGAGACAAAGTTTCTCTGAGTTCAAGGTCAGCCTGATCTCTATGGTGAATTCCGGGCCAGGCAGAACTACACAGTGAGACCCTGTCTCAAAAACAAAACAAAACTGTGGTTCATCTGAGCCTGTAATCTTAGCACTGGAGAGGCTAAGACAGGAAGACCTTAAGTTTAAAGCCAGTCCAAAAAAATAGGATAAAATAATTTGGGGGCCACAGAAGGTCACTTTCACCACAGTTACTCAGGTTCCAGGGTCCTACTTTGTTCCCTAGCTGCATGTGCCAGGTACCACTCATCCCAGATGCAGGTCAGGTCAGGGAAGGGATGACAGCACCTAATGTCCCCCCACTTCTTAGGAACTGTACCAGCTGTCCAAAGAAAAGGCAGACTTCGCTGTAGTGGCTGGAGATGAGGGGAGTTCCACTACTGGAGGTAGCAATGGTGAGAACGAGGGCACTGCTGGATCTGCTGTACCCCACAAGGCCCCCAAGGCACCTCCCAGTAAGTCCTCTGCCAGTGGCAAGAAGACCGAACAGAAGCTGAATAACCCCACTAGCAGAGGTGGTAAGTAAGAGGGCCTGAGGTGATGGAGAGGGGTGTGGGTAGGAAGAGATGGTAGCACACAGGCATACATTTTGATTCTGCCATCCTATGATTAGGTGTCCACTACAACATTCAGTGGATTCCTGGCATGTGACTAGCCATGGGCCAGAAACTCTTTTACCAGGCAGCCACCTCTTACCTGTTCAGCAAACCTGAGTGACAGAGTACCCAGGGAGAGCCAGGCTGGCCGGGGAATGAGCCACCCTGGAGCTAAAGGGTCTAGCTGATAGCCTTCTCCCCTTTCATGTCATAGCAGAAGTGCCTGACCCATCTCTTGGCTCCCCCTGACTTCCAGGACCATTAAAAGTTCCCTTGCCCGCTTCCTTGTTCTTGGTTTTAGTATTAGTTTTGATGATTTTTGTATGGCCATGTTTCTACACCAGGCTGGCCTTTAACTCACTATGTAGCCCATAATGACCCTGAACTTCTGAGCCTTCTGCCTCTACCTCCTTAGTACTGGGATTATAGGCACGTCCCAGTTGGTGCACTGCTAGGGATCGGACCTAGTGCCTCATACATGCTCAGCAAGTACTTACTAATTTCATACTCTTGACCTCTGCTGTTCTGCAGGCAACAGGGTGATTCCAAAGCCTTCCCCCATGAAATCAGGAGACAAGCCGGCCATGAAGTCTTCTCCAGTGAAAGTGGGGGTAAAGAGGAAAGCTGCTGATGAGACCCAATGCCCAACAAAGGTGAGGATAAGAATGGTTCACGAGACAGGCCAGTTTGGCTCAGGGTCTGGAATTCTAAGTTCCCATGTGTGAAGTTGAAAAGATGTCTGTATTGGTCTCAGGGAAGGCTACTAGAGCCCTTCCTTTCCTGTTCTGGGCAGATGAGCAGTTCTGCTGCTCCACCCTGTGCCCTCTTGTTGCCTTGCAGAGGCGGCGGGCCAGCCAGCCAAGAGGAAGGAGAGCTGTGTCAACAGGCAGGAGATAGAGCCGGCCTAGCAGGAGAGGCGGCAGGGGCCCAACCAGCTGCCAGTGTCGTTACAGTTCACATTAAAAACGAAGCCCAGTCTGGGTGTGGGGTGCAGCAGTGTGTTTGTGTCTCTCGGAGCAGGTCCACCCAGCAAGGAGAGGGAGACTGCCATGGCATAGACAACTCTCAGCTAAGGAGCCTATTATTTTCCCTTTTGTTAGTCCCTGGTCTGGCAACATGTTAGTCTGTGGTACCCTGGGTGGCTTCTGGCCCAGAGTAAATGAAGAAACATCAACAGAGATATTGCACCCCTGCCCAAGCATAAGTACAGAAGTTGAAATCTCAGGGCCTAAAGCCACTTCTCAGTAGAAACCATTCCCATCTCTCTTCCCTCCCTGAAGCCCTTGAACTCAGGCACACTGATGAGCAAGACTCCTAGGCTCTCTAGGTAACTGCAGAGCAAACTAATCTTTGGGAGGTATTTTGCATTGGGTGGCTCTTGGAGACTCCCCTTTTTCCATATCCTGGCCTCAGATGTTAGAGCCCATCACTTTTCCCTTTTCTCCTAGTCAGGGGGATTGTCAGACCTGGGTCAGCCAAAGTGGCTAGAGGATGGGTTAGCAATACCTCTGCCTTTTTTTCAGTAAACCATCTGTGTCCTAGACCCTAGACCCTGTGCATCCCTGGCTGTCCTGTATTCTGGTGGGGAAGTCCCACCTGCACCCAGTATAGGGCTCACACTGCATGGACCACTCTGTTTGCAGGTGCTGTTGGATGTCTTCACTGGGGTGCGGCTCTACTTGCCACCTTCCACACCAGACTTCAAACAGCTCAAACGCTACTTTGTGGCATTCGACGGGGACCTGGTACAGGAATTTGACATGGCCTCAGCCACACATGTGCTGGGTAACAGGGACAACAACACTGAGGCACAGCTGGTCTCTCCAGAGTGGATTTGGGCATGTATCCGGAAACGGAGGCTGATAACTCCCTGCTAGGACTTTGGTCTTCCTCTTTGGGCTGTCCTCACCTGCCCACTCTACTGCATGAGGCTCTGCCTGGATGGTAGGGGCCTCTTTGCTAAGCAATGTACCTTTTATACCCTCCAACTCTTCATGGTCCTTCTGGATCAGGAGTTAGTTGCTGTGGGCACAAGCAATTCGCCTGCTAGTTTAACTAGATCTTGCAGATCTGGGTGCTAGCTTTGCCTTCTTGTTTAAAAAGAAGCCAATCTTAGTTGTTTGAGGTGCTGATAACCAACCTAGACCCTTACGCATGCTAGGCACAGTGTCCTCCCATTGAACTACAAATTTTATAAGTAAGAAATCTTAAGCCAGGCATGGTAGTGCATGAGGAGCAAGAAGTCAGAGGGTCAGTTCAAGGCTAGCCTTGAACAAAACAAAACAAAAAAGCATCCTTTCCCACCAGTTCCACCTCCAGTTTTCCTCAGTGACCAAGGAATGAAGGCTGAGCAGAATCTACTTCCTTTGTCTGCTCCTTTTCACTTCCATGTGCATCTTAAAAGCAGTATTTAAACTGTCCTCAAACGCTTCTTGTATGTGGCAAAACCTTTATTATGTCTGGTCCCTTTTGCTAGGGTGAGCCCTCATGTGAAAGACAAAGTGATTGTAGTTTCCAGGTCCCAGCTTGGAGGGAGAGGCTGTCATCTATAGGAAAATTGGCCTCCTTAGAGATAGAGGTTCCTTGAAGGAGGATTTGCCTCCTCAAAATCTGGATGACTATAAGGAGTACAGATCCACAGCCAGGAAAATCTACACACCCTGCTTACCAAGGCTGGCTCCTGTGACCTGCAGCAGATGTACTTGAAAGGCAAAAGAAAGATGATGACTTCTGTGCACAGCTGCACACAGAATCCTATTTTACAACAGTGGAAGTGTCCTAAACTAGCCTCATCTGGTTGTCAAGCCCTTGAAATGTGGCACTAAAGACCTCATTTTATGACTTCAAATGGTCTCAAGTCAGCAGTGACCATCACACACCTGAGCATCAGTTTTCCAAGAGGAAGGGGCAGAGGCACTGCTCCTGAATCACTGGATGACTGTCAGTAACCTCGGATCCCTTATGTAACATGAGGCACAGAACCTGGTACAGATGTTATCCGGGAGGAGGCCTGGCTTACCACCTTGCATGACAGAGTTCACACTTGGCTCTGAGCATGGGCTTCTCCAGGTACTGTGGTAGACTGGCTTCCACACCGATGCTGTGCCACCTCTCAAAGATCAGTTCTCTATTCTTCAGCAGGCTTATCTGTCATCTCCTGTGAGCTAGGTCACTGTGACCGAACAAACCTCTTAAACACTTGTGTGGGCCTCTAAGATACAGACGTACCATCCTGTGTATTCCTAATACCCTACTAGGACGTTGCTTACTAGTCTGGCTTTGCCTTTCACCTACTGTTTCAGATGTGCAGAGGGGAGACACAGTGACTATAGATGCTCTGACAACTAAGGCAGAGTAGGTACCACTCAGTCTGGTGAGTAAGATACTTTCTAATCCATCCTCAAAGCAAAAGCACTTTTTGCTTTGAGCACTTGTCTGCATACATCTCCAACTTCTTTGGATCAAGCAGCTAGGTAGAGCATCAAAGACAACTCTTCCCCACCAACAGGGCCGAAAGGTCAGCCCCTTGCCCCTTGAATGCCTTACTATGTCACTGTCCAGTGTTTGTATGTTTCCTCCTGTCTTTCTGACATACTTCTCTCTGCAGGGAGATTAGACTGTGTGTACACCTTTGTATCTCTTCCTGTCATCCCACCCAACCCTAAGCAATATTACCCTAAACTTACCCCACTCTCTCCGGCCTTTGTTTACATAGTGCCAGCTGATGACTGAGTGGTTATCACTGAATGCTGAACAGATCAGCCATTAGCAAGATTTATTCTCTTTAAGAGACAGCGTAGAATCTTGTCTCATCCAGTTTTCCAGGAGATGATGTACTCCTCTCCCCTCCCCTCAGGCACCTGGTCAGGTAGCTTGGTATAGGCCTGTGCTTATTTTGCAGTCTGCCCTTTAGGCTGGGCCAAACTTTGAGCCATACTTGTCTGTCACAATTATATCCACTTAACTGGCTACCTAGCTGTCCTGATGTTCCTTTCCACTTAGCTCTTGAAGGCCCTTTTCCAGTGAGACTGTGTAAATAATTCACCTGGTGCTTCATATTTGCTCTTGAGAATCATCCTTATACTAGGCTCCACTTCTAGTCTGTTCCGTAATTTCTCCCACACACTCTTGTGATCATAGGCAAGTCATAACACAGAGCAGGGTGCCTTGACCAAGACCAGGTGGCCCAAGCATCTCCCAAAGTGGAATGCGATCTCTGAAGAGCAATACCTCTACACGTAGCCTGATGCTTGCCTACATTCACTAGTACTTTGTGGCCTCTGGCATCATCCCCACACCAGATGGAACAGGCATCTGTATTTAAACTTTATTACAAAATTATAAAGCAGAGCTCTGTAACAAAAAATACACATTTGGGTTTGCTTTTTAACACCCAGGTGAGAAAATCTTAATATAAGCCACTTGGAGTAATACATTCACATCCAAGAGATTTTAACAAATTTGTACAATATAGACTATTAATTCCTTTACAGCTTATTAGTTTAGAACCAGCTATTCCAACCTATGAACCAGTCAGCTGTCCATCTTTTAAAACTAAGTCTCAACTGAAATCTTGGCGCAATCCCAGCAAAAGCCACAGAATAGTTGGAAGAATTAGGTGTTTCTATGTTAATTAAGAACAAGGATCCGTGAAGAACAGAAAGGGGCTCAAGTATTTAAAAAGAAAAGAATCAAGTTTTCTACCTGGGTTAGACATTAACTGAAATGGAATCTTAGAATTCCAACTTTCATTTGGTGTTACAATAAAAAACTTGTTTGACATCTGGTCTTTTTTTCCAAAAGAAAATACCAAAAGATGAAAGAGATTTAAAGGTAAGTTCTTTCTTCAAAATAAGTAACATCAGCTCTGACTGTTACTTGGGTTGCTAACAGGCCATCAGTGTATTATTTCTGTTCCTGTCTAGGAGGTAGGGCGGTAAGGCCTCAGAAGAGAAAGCAGTCTTAAGAAGGGAGAGTCAGCTTTGAAGTCTTGTTAGGTCTTACTGAGCTGCATAATCAGACCTGTTTCACAGTGGAGTCCCAGAGCAGCAAAATCGGTGGGCTGTGCTAAACTGAAGACATTGTAAACTACAGTACCTACTATTCCGGAAAGGTAGTCTTTGTGGAGGAATCTCGTGATTCCTGACACCTGCAAAGGCTTTGACCCAAAATCTAGCCATCTGGACTTAGAATGCAGAGGTAAAGTGGCCTGGTAGCTCTGACAACTACTTCATGGAACTATTTGATCCCCCAAAGGATTTAGTGGTTAATGATGGGAAGAAAGCCTAAGTATTCAAATAGCCCCCTTAGAGGTGTCCCTCTGCTTTCCAGGGTCATGAGTGGTTCTTCCAGTCTCACTTAGCTGCGCAGTGGAGGGCAGTGGTTTTTATCCAGTGCTGAGGGTGCATCCTACAGGAGCACACAGCTCCTTTTGTGCTTTGTTGAGCTGTTCCAGCAAACACCACTCAAACCCTTCAGCCCTGTCAGTGTAAAGACCCCACAAGGCTGGAATCATATGATTCAGAAAATGCTTCATTCTGACCTACCCAAAAGGCTGAGAAGCAGCCATGGGCATAGTCCAGCCTCGTTCAGCACCTTCTAATGCCTCATACACTGTCCTGTGTGTCTGCTCTCCAGGAACTCCATGAGCAGCCAGGCTAAAGAAGAGCAGAGCTCTTTGCCTAAGTTCCTATGCCTTCGGTAAGCAAATTTAAAACCGGAAGAAGAGAAACAAAATGGTTTTTCTTAAAAAAAAAAGTTTAGCCTGCTGAAAAAAATATCAGAAGCCAAAGATAAACAGAAAGCCATTGCCTCCATTTCTCTTTCCTCATAATCCAAGGTGAAGGATGGTACAGTTAAACCCAAAGAGAAGCAGTAGAGATGACCCACGTACCACCTCCTAGGGACTCCCAGCAGTTTAGGGGTCAGGTCAGTGGACTGATCATTTCCAACCCCAACACTTAACAGAAGGGACTCAACTTAGAAATTTTTCTACAGCATTTAGACTTAATTTCTCACTAGAGATCAGCCTACTGATCCAAATTCTGACCCTAGGGAATACTATTGGTCTGATTAACATATTTTTGGTCCATAGAAACATGGATTTTAGGCAATGTAGCAGACTTAAAACACGCAGAAACCAGAAATTTAAATCCAGATGTGCTGGGGGAAGGGAACCATTTCCAGCAGGACTTTTTGATTGCTGAAGCAGGAGTGGTGGTGTATGGGATGTGTGAGATGTGTCTTAGGTTCTCAGGAAGGGGGAAGACACGATCCAAGCTCTGGAAAGTCCTCTTCATTGATTACCATCACCACCCAATAATCAGAGAAGCAGGCACTCACCCATGAGATCTGAATCAGTTCCCACTGGCTTTGTGCTCTGCCATCTAAGAGGTACACCCCATGGCAAGACAGGTATGCCAGGTACCTCTGCTTGTCCTGGTCTTAACACTGCCAGTTTCTTGCAATAAACTGCCTTTGTGCATTGGACCAACCCTGAGCCCAGACACTTTGGGCTATGTCCTATAAGGCACTGAAGAAGCCAATGCTAGCCCTCAAGACCGGAAGACGTGCACTGCTCGGATGACATACTGCCGGCAGATAGGACATTCGTTCATGCGTTTGCCACACTTGGTACAGGTCACCATGTGGCCGCACTCCAGCAGAACACAGTCAATGGGTGAGTCCATGCAAATCTTACACAGGTTCTCCTCCAAGCCAGATGGCACTGCTCCCCCTGGACAAACAAGGCAGAAAAGAAGAAAATGTGTCTCAGTGTTGAGAGGGGCTACAGGGAGCAAACCATCAAACCCACATTTCCCTCAAACAGAGTGCCTTCAAAAAAGCAAAAAACAAAACAAAAAAACCCACAAACCACAACTCAGTACCCAAACCACCTCCAGCTGCTTGTACTCTCAGATCAAAAACATCCTAGGACTCAGAACTATAGGATAGTTCAAACTAGAAAGAAGGAACTTAGAGCAAGGAGGCTATAATACAATGAGTGAGCAGGACTTAGGTACCACGTCCCCTGAGGCAGAATGTACAAAAAAGATAAAACTGGTTCAGAAAAGTTTGGATATAAACAACTGTAATGAATGGTTCATTAGAAATAATAAATCTTATCTATAAACATAGTCCAAATTTAATAAAGCTGAGAATCATGTGGGACCACATGTACTACCCGACAATCTACCTCTGCTTCTGAAAAGACTTCCTGATGGAGGGGCATGGGCAGACACGCTGTTCCCTTTTCTGTGCTACAATCATTGAATTTTATTCCTACCCCTGACTGCTTATCACTTCATGATAATTCACTTATCTCCCACAGTAGACTAAGAGCTTAATTTAACTTTTCAGCTGACAATCATAAGCTTAGCATTTGCTTTGTGCTCTGAGGTCAGATACTTATCTTTGAATTCCCAAAACATGTGTCACATGGTAGGTATTCTTTAAACATCTGATAATGAACATTCTGCCCAGGAAATGATAACTGTTCACATTGACTAACTGCCTACCATGTGTCAGGCCGGGTCCTAAGAGCTTTCTGTATTAACCCAGAGGTGCTGAAGTAGGTTTTATAGATGAGACAACTTGGGCCATAGTAAAGTGGCTTGCCCAAGGACACAGGGCTGCTGAAGTAGTTCACATTCAAATCAGAGAGGCTCATGGATATATGGCCTTCTGGACAAGAGCTCCAAGGGCAGAGACTATTCAGACAGCATTAACTACCCAGAGTTACCTCTGAGTACACAGAGTTCTCAATAAATACCAACTGGCTAATGCTAGTAGTGGACACAGTTACTATCCTAGTTCAGCTGAGAAAAACCTTCATATTCAGAAACTCACAATCTCCAGTGCGTCAAACAAGCCTAAACTAAGCAGCCATAAAACAGAATTGTTCTCACACCTGCCATCTCTCACACCTGGGCTTCTCCAGGGGAATTCTTTATCTGTTGCTTCTAGTCTTTCTCTTCTGTTCTGGACTAGTCTAAAAAGTCACGTCACTGAATGCACAAGTCCTCTCATGGACATTTGCTAGTTTGGTGATTCTGGAGTATTTTCATGTAGCTATTCAAATAAAACTATGTATGAAATACACATCAAGTCAAAGAACACTTCCCACAGGAGGTGGCTGACTGTGAGAGTTCAAACTAGGTAAAGCCCCTTGTGGCCTGAATACAGAGGTTAGAAAGGCACAGGCATACCTAAAACAAGCTTGAGTCATTTACAGAATTTCAGTCACTCATTATTTCACTGAGGAGAGACAATAAATGCATCAGCTCAGTGGTCAGCATTCTCCAGGAAATGAGAACAAGGATGGTACCAAGTAGATTAATCTGATCTTGGTATTATCTGGGGTGGGGTTGGGAGGAGGGCTAACCCAGATGATTATAGGGACTAAGAAAAAAAAAAGCTCCTGCCGGGGCGTTGGTGGCGCACGCCTTTAATCCCAGCACTCGGGAGGCAGAGCCAGGTGGATTTCTGTGAGTTCGAGGCCAGCCTGGTCTACAAAGTGAGTTAAAGGAAAGGCGCAAAGCTACACAGAGAAACCCGGTCTCGGGAAGAAAAAAAAAAAGCTCAACTGCCCATTCTGCACAGAAGACAATTTTACTTAGGATTTTTTTTTTTCTTCCCCTTTTTGGTTTTTCGAGACAGGGTTTCTCTGTATAGGTTTGGCGCCTGTCCTGGATCTTGCTCTGTAGACCAGGCTAGCCTCAAACTCACAGAGATCCACCCGGCTCTGCCTCCCGAGTGCTGGGATTAAAGGCATGTACCACCACCGCCCACTAGGATAAATTTTTTAAAAATGTTCTGTAAGCTGTAACACTACTCAGAATAGTTGTGGGAAATCCCCCTCAGCCCATTCCTCAAGGCTTTGAAAAATGTACAACGTGTGTGTGACATCCCACAGGCTACCGGAGTTCTACAGTGTGCTCTGAGGATGTCCCAATGGTGCCCTTTAACATACCGGTGGGTGTTAAGGCAGCCAGGTGGGGTATGCATTTGAAGCTCAGAAGGCATCCACAGAGCACTGCTGCTGTCTGCTGAGCAGTTCTGACTACCACTCAAACAGGGTTCTCTTGGGTCACCACCCTTGGTTTTTGGTTTGGCTGGCAGAGACTTAAGTGGGCTAGGTACAATGAGTGGTATAAGCCTTTAATTCTGGCACTTGGGAAACAGAGGCAGGTGGATCTCTGTGAATTTGAGACCAGCTTGGTCTACACAGTTGAGTTCCAGGGCAGCCAGGGCTACACAGACAAAGACTTAAAAACAAAAAAACTCAGCCAAGTGGTGGTGGCACTCGCCTTTAATCCTAGCACTTGGGAGGCAGAGGCAGGTGAATCTGTGAGTTCAAGGCCAGCTTGGTCTACAGTGTGAATTCCAAGGACAACCAGGGCTGTTACACAGAGAAACCTTGTCTCAAAAAACACAACGAAAATTCAGATGACATCTCTGAAAGTGTAGACTCTCCCTAGACAGACCACACGGAGAGACTGAGCATAGTACTCCCCACATCAGGCATCTCCATCTCCAAATTAGCCAAGCCCCTAGGCTGCTGTGGCCTTCCTTCATAGGAGTTGTTGGGCAAGGACAATGCCTGATTCTGTGCTTTCCCACAGCCTCTCTGTATGCACATATGCCTACAAGTCTTAGACTGTGAACAGCCATCAGGGCTGTAGACAGAAAACAAAACTGCTAAGAGCCTAAGCCCATCCTTAACAGAAACAATTACATACCGTTTTGGTTTTCATCACCAGACACTGAAAATGAAAGAAAAT